TAGATATTGTATTATTTTTAAAATAAATATACGCGCCTATAATAGTTTCGAATTTTCGTAACAGATGGCGCTAATGTATTATAATATTTATTTATTAACCATAGGCGCATTATATTGAAGTATTTGCGCCTATTTATTTTAAAATATGTTTACCGAATTAAATATATTAATAGGCAGCGTCTGTGTTGTTTGAGTGTATACAAGGTATGTTCCATAAGTTCACGGACTGGGTCCATAAAAAAATAAATAAATGAAAAATGTAAATAAATTTTACTGTTTATTATAGAAAAATATCTGGCGACACGGTGGTACCAATATCGCGCGCCAAGGACATTCTAATTTAACACCTAGCACTGCGGCGATATTACGATGAAACAAAAATTGAAGCAGAGGATTTGCATAGATTTTTGTGTTAAACTTCAAATATCAGCAACCGAAGCTTTTGAAATGCTTAATAAAGCATTACAATGACACCCCAAAGAGAACAACTGTTTTTAAATTGCATTCTAGATTTAAAGCTGGCAGAATTTCCATTGAAGAGGATCCTTGTCAAGGACGCCCACAATTTCAAATGACTGATGAAAATGTGCAAAAAATCACCAAATTGATAAAAGAAAAACCTCGGATCACTCTGATGGAGCTAGAGCAAGACACAGGCATCTCTAAAACAACGTAACCGAAGATTTGTAGCTCAAAAAGACTCTTGCAAAATTCATCCCAAGATTCCTCACTAATGAGCAAAACCTGCGTCGGCTTGCAACCTGTGAGGACATGTTGGAAATGACAAGAATGAATCAGGAATGGAAAGACAAGATAATCACAGGCGACGAGACATGGGTCTATGGCTATGACCCTAAAACCAAGAGTCAATCTGCCGAGTGGAGAGGTCAGGGTGAGCCTAGACCCAAAAAATCCAGGATATCGAAATCCAGAAACAAGGTGTTGCTGGTCGCTATATTTTTGGATAACAAGAGCGTTGTTCATCACGAGTATCTTCCTGCAGGCCAAACAGTTATTAAGGAAATGTATTTGGGCATTCTTCGCCGTCAAGGGAAACGATTCGAAAAAAAAAAGGCCAGAAAAATGGACTAATGGTGACTGGATCCTACACCATGACAATGCCGCCCTCACACAGGGCACTTGGTAACGAGTTTTTTAGCGAAAAACGGGACACAAATCCTACCTCAACCACCCTATACCCCTGACATGGCACCAAATGACATTTTCCTGTTTCCCAAACTGTTGGTATTGAAGAACATTCCAAAAGAAGCCTATAAAAACTGTTTCGACAATTGGGAGAAACGATGGCGCTGGTGCGTTGAAGCAAGGGGGGATTACTTTGAAAAGTTTTAATGATTTTTTTTTAAATATCTTACCCTTTTTTTTGGACCCAATCCGGGAACTTATGGAACATACCTTGTATTTTTTTAATGAATTTATTTTGAAATGAAATTATTTTAAATAGTATTTTTTTTTATATTCTGTGATAAACTCTCATTTTTAAATATAAAGAGATATATATAACCCAGGTCCCTAAATCTCAGAATGCCTACTACCTGGGAAGTTCAGCTCAGTCCAGCAATCTCTATAGAAATACAGGAAATACACAAATACTAGAATATACATGAAATACAACTTTCTATATTTTGAAACAAAGATGTATTTCTTTCCTAAATCCAGGTAAGCATTTTTATAGAATAAAATATATTTGTTTACATTTATATTACGATGCACTAGCGCGCCATCTGTTATCAAAATACAAAACTATTTTAGGCGCGTATGATTATTTTAAAAATGAAATAAAAGCTTATGTCCATAGTTCATCTAAAATACCCATTCGAAGAGTCTAGCATCAGTATCACTATAAAAGAAAGTTCCAAAAATGCAAAATAAAAGCGGTATGGTAGATTAAACTGGCGAAACCGCTGGGAGGGTTCACCACTGATGAGCCAGGCCCTCCCATTAATTTTTCCATTGCAGTAGGGACGGTAGAAATTGTTTAATTTTAAAAAGAATCATACGCGTCTATAATAGTTTCGTAAAATTCACGTAGAAAATTAGGAAAGTCAAACTTCAGGATAAAACAGCAATTTATTTAAGACAAGCACATTTTTATTTATTTATTCAGATAACCCAGGTTTCTGGAGCGTTACAGCAGTCGCCAACTACCCGTACAAAATTAATAGTGATACATTACAAGAGAAGCAATGTGAGGGGAGTTTACGCGGAATAATAAAATATATATAAAACCAAAATTAATAATCTGTTATAATAAAATAATAAATACTCTACGCTACAATATCTAGAAAAAGATAGAACCTACCTCATTACAATGTACATATAAGATTATATAAGGTTAAATACAGAATAAATTAGCAAAGGAAACCAGAAAGCTGAACCAAAGGAAAGAACAAATGTCAGTATTTGACGCTGATGCTTTGGCAAAATACAAGATAATTAAACAAAAAATAAGAAAAGAACAAATATGTGAAATAAACTCTGAGAGAAAACTGACAAAAACTATAACAAGATGTAGAACAAAACACTATAAAGAATGGCAATACATCCAGATGGCACAAGAACCTATAGGACATTCAACAACTGTCCTGGTGTGGAACTAACACCTATCCACATATTCTCATGCCCAGCAATGGCCGCAGCCTTGCAGAAAATTGACATAAACCCAGAGCAGCAGCTTTACACACCAAAGATAGTGGACATTGCTACTGCTGTGATGGAGATGCATGGAGACATCTGAGGCTCTTCATTGGACACGACAACAACAACAATAACAGAATAAATATAAATATGATTATATAATGATAAATATATGAATGAATAGATATAAATATATAATTGATAGATATGCATATATATAAAATATATACAGTCTTCATTGGTGGCGCCCACCGCGGGAAAGACTTCTCCACCGATGAACTGCGAGCTTTCTTATATAGAAAGAGAGCAACTTTCACATTCTAAATATCTTTCTCACTTATATTATTCGGATATCACTCCTAATTCTAATTAAAATAGACATAAAATTGAAGATTTAATGAATATCCAATCTAAATAAATATGAAAACAAACTGAGCTATACAAAGACGAATTCATTTATTCTAGGTAACTCCTATATAGACGGCAGCGGCCGTTTTGCTAGGTTTTTAGCAAATTCTGGTACATATAGAAAAATTATTTTTTTCTTTGTCATACATTTATCTTCTACTTAATATATGTGTGCCTTGTGCTTTACTAGTTTGAAAAGTTCTACTAAACAAGGTTTTACAACTTTTTCTAATTTTGATTATCTTGAAATCCTAGCTGAGGAGACCCCACATGGAGTTCCTGAAGGGTCAGATATCTAGTCAACAACAACAACAACAAAAAGGCTTTTTTTAGGGACCATTGCCCTGTATGGACTCGCCATACAACAACAAAATAATACAGTAATTTTTTTCTCCCTCTCCCCATGTGCACGTGAACCTTTGTTTGAAAAGGGATTTATTCACACATTTGTTCTAAAACTTTCCTCACTACCTCTTTTGCGTATGAATCTATTTACAATTGATCTGTAGAAATTATAGAGTTCTATTGCTATATTTTTCTTTTCTGAAATAGTTTTCAGCGTTTGCAGTGGGTTGCTAAATCTCCAGAAGATCTTTTAAAGAGTTCTTTCTAATCTTCACCTAAATATTTGTATTCTATGATATAGTAGGAGATTTCATCAGATATCATATTTCCTCAAATCATGCAGTGAATGTTTTCCTTTTTGATGATGATAATATGACTTTCTATATCTAGAGTTGAAGTAATTGATATCTAGTCCCTGAATATAATTTTATTTCAAGTGGTAATTTACATCAATAGGCCAATTTGGAGGTCTGAGTGGATGGCGCTTGGTTCCGGGTCGGGTATGGCTGGGTGAATGTCAGATGGAAGCTCTGATACAGGTATAGGTGATGCTGAGAATATTCCATTCGAAGCATCACACGCGTAACCCTTCTGTGGATCGATAAGGATAAAGTCGCATGCTGATTCATGGTAGTTCATCAATGTCGGGTTCATCGCATAAACCGGGTTTAGAGAGGCGAATTCTGGGAGACCCGAGAGAATACTGTCTAACATTGAGCTTCTCTTTTTGTCTATATATACATTCTTGTGTTTTAGCCCTATCTGGTTGTAGAACGATGTGGGAGAAGTATCTGTTCTATATACAGTTCCACATGACTTCTTGGTTGTTTCAGGGATTTTCACTGGTACGTTTTACAATCACAAGCCGCATTATATTATATTGTATTATAAATTACTTTATGTATTACTAGCCGAATGACCCGGGCAACGCCCGGGTTTTACCCGATTAAATGTTTTTATTCAATTACTATTCGTTACAATTATAAATTGGCACCGTGGATGTCACTTTTGTGAAACGTCCCGCTCCAAACTTTGTAGGTTTTTAAAATATAAAAATAAATATGTAAATTTTCACAACGATATTTGAAAATTATATTATTTTGATTTTCAAATACTATTCGTTACAATTATAAATTGGCGCCGTGGATGTCACTCTTGTGAAACGTCCCGCTCCAAACTTTGTGTCTGAGAAGCGATATTTTTATAGAAAGATGATCTGGCTTTTGTTTTCTGCTCGAATCAATGTTTTTCTGTTAGATTTTTGTTCCTGAGTACAAAATAATGAACTGGTTTCACCCGTGGTCTCTGCTTTTAGGAATTTTTCCCGATATAATTTTGTATCTGATAATCAAACATGATACAGCAATATCGTCATCATCATTTTCTGACTAAAAATATATAGTTTTTAATAATTGATTTATATATTTTTTTAAAATAGCTTATCGTCTTCCCCGTATTTTTTTACCTATGCATGGAAATTTTGGTTTGAATTAGTGAACTACTGCGAATTTGTATACCGGACATACAGACAGACAAACATACAAACATTCATTTTTATATATATAGAGATTTACGAACGGAAAAATATATCCAGGGTAGCCTAGTGGACATGGCATCTGCCCGGTAAGCGGAACACTGTTGGGTTCGATTCCCATCCCTGGACACTTTTATTTTTCCGTTTATCATTACTCTTCACAATTCACTCTTTCATACCTCATCCAAAAGGTTGGAAATAATCGTTATTTTTCCTTGAAATAAATTTTGAATTTTCGTTGAAAAGAAACACATGCGGGATAGTATTTTAAATTTCGTTTTACAATTGATATATGTACAAAGGGTTGGTATACAAATATAGTTAAATGAAATCAAATTGTAAAGTATTATGTGTATTCGAGAAGAGCAATTTACAGATTTAAAAAAAAACATATATGAAAATATAGATAAAAAGTATTTGAAGAGTTGAAGAATTTTTGAATCTAAACCTTTTACGTTTTAAATATATATAAAATAAAAGATACAAATCGATTACTATAGTTAATTTTTGACTTTTTATAATAATTAAATATTTATTAATCATTGAAAATATTTGGCATAGATTTTTGAAATTACAAATATTCTTTCTACACATGGTTTATAGAATAACGATATTATAATATTGATCGATTTTCTCCTATTATAAACATACTTTCTCAATATTCTATAATTTATTCTATAAAAATACATTGATTAAGTTTATATAAAATTGATATAAAACTTTGAAACTTCACTCAACACAATGGTCAAATAACGATAAAAGGAAAAACGTTACTTATTTGAACATGGACTTTTATTAATGGTTCAGCCGTGAAAAATGATTTTGACAAAGTTGAAATCTAATCTATTCCAGCTCTTCTTTCCTTTCTTTGCCCATTTAAGAATCCACATAGAACTTTTTTTCCATTTAAAAAATCCAATTTTTCATCAAAAACTTCCATTCTTCTTTATATTATCAGTGGGTCATGAAATTAACCATAAAATATTGACTATTATTTCCATTCCTTGTTTATTCTATATTGTAAAAGTTTACAAATACGGATTAGTAGATGAAACTTTTAATCATCTATATATAGAATTTCAAAATTTGAAAATGAAGCAATCCATAATTAACTATTTAGATAATGAAAAGACATATATTGACAAAAATATATATATTTTTTTCAATTCAATATATGAAAATTGGAAATATTATAAAAACGCGTATGATTCTTTTTAAAAATTAAATAATTTATACTGCCCTTACTGCAATGGAAAAATTAATGAGAGGGCCTGGCTCATCAATTTACATAACATATGGCGTGTTAATGCATTACAATTCAATGTATAATAAAGATACTTCTCTGATTTTACACTTTAATTTAATCAATAAGGATTCTAGGGTTTGGTTTCTTATTTCTTTTATTTATTGAGCTTTCGGGATAATATGCTCTACAACACGGAGATTCAGAAGAACAACTTCTACAACATCATCGATAAAGATTCAATCTCTCAACATATGAGACAATTCATTGGACACGACAACAACAACATTATGTAATTAACTGCATCATCATCGTGTGTGTATTTTACATATATATGTAAAATAGAAAACTATGTAATTAACTGCATCATCATCGTGTGTGTATTTTACATATATATGTAAAATAGAAAACTATGTAAAACTCTCTTACTATCAAGAGACTGAGTTGACATTAATGTTTAATGGACCTACGAAGTCTACGAAGTCCTCGTTGAGAGAGATTGAAACACCCTTTATTGACATCTTGTCAATTAGGTTTTACAAAATTAATGAAGAATAATGGGAATATTTACAATGATTTATGAGTGAGGAAGGTTCCACTATCTTGATAGGGTCCTCCTCCAGACCAGGAGAGGGTCTTCTTGGACATCCCGTAACTCCAGGACCAGGAAGTATTTGTAGATTCGGGTCTCGGCAGATGCCATGATGGCCAAGGCGTTGTCCTCCAGGTCTCGCCAGAAGATCCAGCTCTGCAGGTCAGGGAGCCGCTGGATGATTTCCTCAAGGATCTCCTTGTTGAAAGGCAGGTTAGCTCGAAAGCTTGAGATATAAAAGAAATATGCAAATTAACGAAACACCTTGATTCCTTTTTGATTGGGTCAAAATTCAATATACAGTTAAACCTGTCTATGGCGCCCTCCTCTAAATAACGCCTTCCACTCTATAGCGCACGATTATAAACATTAAAATGTAAACATTTTGCACTAAAAGTGACCTGTTAATAGCACCCCCTCTCTATAGCACCCTATTTTGGTCAGTCCCAAGATGAGGCGCTATAGACAGGTTTAACTGTATGCCTTTTTATTAACTAAATAGTTGTAATTATAGTTAGAAAACATGCATTTTTTAAAATTTTCAAAATTGTAAAAATCATAGTTCTAATTTTATCTTCAAGAAAATTATTTCTACACAATATTTCAAATCGAATGAACTCGGGTGAGTGATAAGTTCTTCGTTAGTCCAGGACAAGCTTAGATTTCATAAGATTCACATTGATTTCTTTAAAAAATTATGAAAAAACAACAGAAAAAAAGTAGTACAGACTACTCTACGCTGCGAGCGCGAAACGCGTTCGTGGATAACTTTTCTTGATTTATCAAGAAATTGGATTGGCTAAATATCAGGGAGCAGGTTAAATCGATGAATAGTTGATTTCTGTTCCACCAGATGGCGCTCTGCCTTCTGTAAAGCACATGTACTCCTGGTCAGGATATGCCTTTTTTATTTTTTGAAAATTTATATCTTCTATATATATAAAAATGAATGTATGTGTGTGTGTGTTTGTCCTTTATGCCTGACCAAACCACTCATTGGAACGCCATGAAACTTTGGGAAGTTATTTAGTATAGTACTGGGAAGGTTTCTAGCAAATAAAATTTTTGAAATAACTTTTCGCTTTAAAATAATCAAGATAAATATTCTTATTTATCTGTTATAATTCAACAATCTGCTCTAAATATTATCATGATGATACGATGATTTTGTATTGTAGAAAATTAGGAAAGACAAAATTCAGGATGACACGGCAATTTATTTGAGACAAGAATAATGATACAATTCCAAGGCAAGATACTATTCCTTTAACTTCTAATTACCGAGGGAACCAATTAATATTGATTTTATTCAACTTGTCGAGTATTTTTCAAGGGACCGGGAAAAAATGTTCACTTTATCGAAAGATTCGTTAGACAAACCTTTACTCGGGTAAAACCCGGGCGAAGCCGGGTACGTCCGCTAGTAAATAATAAACAAACAGCTTCTTAAGATGAGTTTCTTGATTTATTTTATATTCTCTTCTCAAGCTTTCAGGTATTACAAGCCTATCTACAGGAGTATGTATGACTCTTACTTCTATATTCCTCTTTAGAAGGCTTTGTAATACCTGAAAGCTAGATATGATATAAGATAAAGAAATAAACTCATCCTCAGAAGCTGTTTTCTTTATTATTTATATAAATTCCATAGGAATATATATTTTTCGTGATTTTAATGAAATTGCAAAATCGGTTCGTAGCATTTAAGGTAACTAGGTAAAACTTCTATGTAAGAAATATATATGGGATTTTTTTGCAGAGGATGAATTTTGATTTATAAAATAAAAAGGTCACACACACTTTTACCTTACGAACAAAAAGATACAAAAACTATGCGTTAAATATTGATTTTTATAGTTTTCCTTACATAACTTTGGCGTCCATTTTGATGGAAAAATTTGGCCATTTCTTTTAGAGATCAATATTCTCCTGGCAAAATTTCCACGTCAATAATGACTTCGTAGGTCCATTAAACATTCATGTCAACTCAGTCTCTTGATAGTAAGAGAGTTTTACATAGTTTTCTATTTTATACATATATGTGTAAAATGCATACACGATGATGATGCAGTTAATTACATAATGTTGTTGTTGTCGTGTCCAATAAATTGTCTCATATGTCTGCGTGTGCATCTCTATAACTGAAGTCGAAATATATAGAGCTAAAGGTCACCTCTCCCTTCAAAATAGACATCAAAGCTAGACGTCATCTAGTTTGACTGGAGATGTAACCTTTACCATTATAAATCAATATCCTCCCAGCAAATTTCCATCTATAGAAGTCAAAATGTTGTTTATCTTGGGTGTGTAAACTGCTCTTTTCTGGATCCATGTCAATTGTCTGCAAAGCTGCGACCATTGCTGGACATAAGAATATGTGAATAAATAATACAAAACGATCTTATTCAGAAAAGTAAAATCCTCTTCAATACATCTAAATAATAAACAAAACGGGTTTTTTCCGAGATTGAGTTTCTTATATTTTATATTTATCTCAAGCTTTCAGGTATTACAAACCTCTCTCTCTCTCTAATACTGCACATGACTGGTACAGAGCAGGAGGGACAAACACCGGTTCTGTCCTCACAAGAGAATAACAGTCTTTGATTTCAAGACCTAAGTCTGGTCATCTACGAAAAATGACTTTACAGAATGGTTGCAAGGATTTCCCATAATGGACTAAGTGCAATTATCAGCCTGCAACCCCAAGATATATTATTGACTGTATTGACTCATCCATTGATGAGCTCTACTCTTCCCCGGCAGACACCATCAACAAGCTTGATACCTTAGTGTGATTGAGTGGAGATAAGAAAAGAAGACAAACTTTTCTACAGGTATGTGTAATCATCATATACTTCTGCAGAATGGTTTGTGATTCACGAAAGCTTGAGATAAACATATATCTTTTAGCATTTAGAAGCAGCTTTTGAATCAAGCTTACTTTAAGCATAGTCAAAAGTCCAACACATCAGCAGCAGCCCCATTTGGAAAAATAAAGAATTTAGATTAAAAAATGATATTGAGAATAATATAAAATAAAACATGAAAATCATCCTCGAAAACCGTTTGTATATAAAACCCGAAAACTTGAGAAGAATATAAAATGAAACAAAAAACTCATCCCCGGAAACCGTTTTGTTTATTATTCATAAAAATGATAATGTATAATTTAGATTAGATATAAAAATGTGAAAAAAATGGAGAATTATTAAGATATCATATTAAAACAGTTGAATTATTTATGGCATTTTGATAGAAGCATTTAAATACTTCAATATAAAAAGTAATTAT